CTTGTGCTGTGTTTTTCAGCTCCATCAAGTCGTTTATATTCTTCTCTAGGCTCGTTATTCTAGTTAGCGTTTCATATAATATTTTTTCAAGGTTCTTAGTTGCTTTGCATTGGGTTAAAACATGTTCTTTTAGCTCAGAGAAGTTTGTTATTACCCATCTTCTGAAGCCTGCTTCTGTCAGCTCATGAAAATCATTTTCTGACATGTTTTGTTGCCATGCTGTCGATTCACTGTGATCTCTCTGGAGAGGAGAGGCGTTCTGGACTTTGATGTTTTCTTCCTTTTTGTGCTGGTTTCTTCCCATCTTCCCTGAGTGGACATCCTTTCTGTTAAAGTTGGGGTTATTTCTCCTGTATGAGGCTTTTTTTTTTTTTTTTTTAAACGCAGGTGTCAGTGTGCCACTTGAGACAGTCTGTCTGTTGTCTGCCTGTGGAGGCGCTGCTGGGCTGCCTCAGTCTCAGCCAGGCTGCTGTTTTTTCTTCACCTGGTTTCAGTACTGGTGGGGTTAGCCCCGCTTTCCCAATGGCGGGCTCTTTCCCTCTGCTGAGCCCGCTGTTCCCAGGTAGAGGATATGTTAACTGCAAAACTCTCCCGGGAAAGGGACTCCTCTTGCTGGATCTTGTGGGGGAGGGGCCTGTCTTGTCGTATCCCCGCCCCGCTTTCAACTCTCCCTTCTGTGGGACAGGCAGTTCCTTTTTGCCAGCTTTCTCGGTATTAGTCCAAATCTCTGCCCTGGTCCGCACTAACAAGGCACCGGTGTGGCTGGGGCTGCCGGCCTGGGCTGTTTCCCGGGTCTGCGACTCTGGGTGGTTCTCAGCAAGGTGTTGTTTTCCTGGTCTGTGTGTTGCTGAAGTCTCAGAGTGAATTGCTGTATCTGATTCAGAGAACTGAGGAGGTGATGCCCCCCCATCCTCTGTGCCTGATACACTTTCTAGGTGAGGCAGTGCCAGCTGGATGCCTTTGGGCTGCTTTTGCTGCCTTTTTTTGGGGTTAATCCTGCGAATCAACCAGGCCCTTTAAAACAAAACTGGTACCTCGTTTGGAGACTCGGATATCGCTCTGGTTCTGTCTCACTTGGTGGTAGCTGCACTCCAGAGAAGCTTCCTTTCGGCCATCTTCCCCTGAATCTTCAGTAATATGATTTTCCACCTTGCTTTTTTTTTTTTTTTTTGTCCTTGTTTGTTTGTTTGGAGACAGAGTCTCGCTCTGTCACCCCGGCTGGAGTGCAGTGGCACAATCTTAGCTCACTGCAACCTCTGCCTCCTGGGTTCAGGCAGTTCTCCTGCCTCAGCCTCCCTAGTAGCTGTGACTACAGGCACCCACTGCCACGCCTGGCTATTTTTTGTATTTTAGTAGAGACAGAGTTTCACGGTGTTGCCCAGGCTGGTCGCAAACTCCTGACCTCAGGTGATCCACCTGCCTTGGTCTCCCAAGGTGCTGGGATTACAGGCGTGAGCCACTGTAAAGGGTATATATTTTTACAATACTGATAGATGTTTCTCAATTGCCATTCATGAGTTGACTCAATTTACATTCCTACCAGCAATTTTTTCCCCCACAGTCTCACTGAGTGCTATCAAACTTTTGGATTTTTAATAATCTGAAAAGTGGAAAATAGTATCCCATAATTTTTTTTTTTTTTTTTTTTTTTGAGACAGAGTTTCACTCTTGTTACCCAGGCTGGAGTGCAATGGCGCGATCTCGGCTCACCGCAACCTCCGCCTCCCGGGTTCAGGCAATTCTCCTGCCTCAGCCTCCTGAGTAGCTGGGATTACAGGCACGTGCCACCATGCCCAGCTAATTTTTTGTAGTTTTAGTAGAGACGGGGTTTCACCATGTGGACCAGGATGGTCTCGATCTCTTGACCTCGTGATCCACCCGCCTCGGCCTCCCACAGTGCTGGGATTACAGGCTTGAGCCACCGCGCCCGGCCTATCCCATAATTTTTTTAAGGATAAAAACTATGAAAGCATATTAATATGCTGTAGAAGAACACCTGATAATGCAGGAGAGTAAGAGAGAGAGGGAGAGGAGGTAATTTCCCAAGTAGAATCCCTTGCTAGGCTGGAGGAACGGAATCCAGTGATTCATTTAATAGGTAAACATGCAGGGGGTGGTGGGGAGTTCGTACATTTTGGGGTGGAATCAAGTGCAAGTTTCCTTTGATTGCTTTTATTTTTCAGATGAAGAAAGAATCAAGGTTAATTAGGCCAGGAGAGAGGAGAGACTGCTGAACATGTGAGAGAAGAGGTATGAATTACTTTTCTTAGAGAGTGACAGAGTAACCTTACTAGGGGAATGCAGGATTGTTGGGCAGGAGTGAAGTCACCCCTGGAGGATTACAGCTCTAAATTTAAAGTGAACTTTGAAGGATGAGGAATCACTATGGCTGAAGAAGATTCCTACTTTAGGGAGACTTGAGTCAAAATGAAAAACAAAGCATTTATCGAGCATTCATTTAACAAATATTTATAAGAGTCTCCCTGCAGAGGCACTCTTGCCTGGGTACTGGCTAAATTACTGAGAGCAGATCCAAACATATGCCGGGTGTTCACACAAGACTAATTAAGGTAAGATATTCACTCTGCAAACAAAACCACAAAAAGTCCTTAAACTGATATGGTTAGGCTGTGTCCCCACTCAAATCTCATCTTGAATTGGAATCCCCATAATCCCTCAGGGTCAAGGGAGACACCAGGTGCAGGTAATTGAATCATGGGGGTGGTTTCCCCCATGCTGTTCTCATGACAGTGAATTTTCAGGAGATCTGCTGGTTTTACAAGAGGCTGTTCCCCCTTCCTTAGGCACTTCTTCCTGCCACCTTATGAAGATGGTGCCTTGCTTTCCCTTCATCTTCCACCATGATTGTAAGGCCTCTCTAGTCATGATGAACTGTGAGTCAATTAAATCTCTTTCCTTTATATAAATTACCCAGTCTCGGGCAGTTACTTATAGCAGTGTGAAAACGGACTTATTAATACAATGCTCTTGAATGGGTGTGTATGTGTGTGCTATTTTTTGACTCCTCTGAAAGCCTCAACAAACAGTCTCTCTGAAAAACAGGCACATACATAAATTTGCAATTTCAGGTGGTCCTAGAACTACAAATTAAGATCCCCTGTCCCAAATTAAGAGTCCTATTTTAAACAGTGTATCTTTCTAGAATATTTTCTATGATTCAATTTTAAGCTTTCTATGAGCAACTCCACGGTTGTGTATTGGATACTTTAACAAGGGCTTAGAATTTGAAGTCATTTTAAGTTTTAAAAAAGTTGCAGGCCGGGAGCAGCCTGTAATCCCAGCACTTTGGGAGACCGAGGTGGTGGATCATGAGGTCAGGAGTTCAAGACCAGCCTGGCCAACATGGTGAAACCCTGCCTCTACTAAAAATACAAAAAATTAGCTCAGCTAGTGGCGGGCAACTGTAATCTCAGCTACTTGGGAGGCTGAGGCAGAGAATGCTTGAACCTGGGAAGCCAGGACTGCAGTGAGCCAAGATTGTGCCATTGCACTCCAGCCTGGGCAACACAGGGAGACTCCATCTCTAAATAAATAAATATATATATATATATAAATTAGATAGATAGGTAAATAGTAAGTAACTAAGTAAGTTGCAAAAACAGACAAGGTATATCTGAGGAAAAGGGAAAAAAAGTTGCAAAATATCATAATATGGCCTTCATCTGGAAAAAGAAAACGAAATTGCGAAAATAAGATAGTGTTTCCCTAGACTCATCAAATAGCATCTCCACAGGTTAACATTTTACATAATGGTAGTATAATTATTTTTTATTTATTTATTTATTTATTTATTTTTGAGATGGAGTTTCGCTCTTGTTACCCAGGCTGGAGTGCAATGGCGCGATCTCGGCTCATCGCAACCTCCGCTTCCTGGGTTCAGGCAATTCTCCTGCCTCAGCCTCCTGAGTAGCTGGGATTACAGGCACGCGCCACCACGCCCAGCTAATTTTTTTGTATTTTTAGTAGAGACGGGGTTTCACCGTGTTGACCAGGATGGTCTCGATCTCTTGTCCTCATGATTCACCCGCCTCGGCCTCCCAAAGTGCTGGGATTACAGGCTGGAGCCACCGCGCCCGTCCTGGTTATATAATTATTAAAATTATTGATATACTACTAATATGAGTTAATAGACCTTATTCAAATTTCGTCAGATGTCCCATTAATGTCCTTTTTTTTTTTTTTTGAGACAGAATCTCACTCTGTCACCCAGGCTGGAGTGGAGTGGCGTGATCTCAGCTCACTGCAACCTCCGCCTCTCAGGTTCAAACGATTCTCCCGCCTCAGCCTCCTGAATAGCTGGGATTACGGGCGTGTGCCACCACTCCCGGTTAATTTTCGTATTTTTTTTAGTAGAGACCGAGTTTCACCACGTTGGCCAGGCTGGTCTTGAGCGCCTGACCTCAGGTGATCCGCCTGCCTCAGCCTCCCAATCTGCTGGGATTACAGGCGCGATCCACCGCGCCCGGCCTCATGTCCTTTTTCTATACCAGGAGCCAATTCCGGATTTCACATTACGTTCCTTCTCTGTTGCCCAGGCTGACCTCGAAGTCCTGGGCTCAGCGATCCTCCCGCCTCCTGAGTAGCTGGTACTACGGGCGTGTGCCACCCATCCTGGCTGCTACTGTTTTTTAACAACTTTAATCCACGCTCTGTACTTGAGGGATTTGTGTTCTCGGGCAAATTACTGAAAGTCTCTGAGTCACTTTTCCGTCTAATAGACGTGAGGCGATGAAGAACCAATAAAAAACACATTTGGGATGACTTCGGAAACTTTGAAGGGAAGTGAATACATTTTTCTTATTTCCCGAAGCTGGCTCATATAATTCACTTTTTCGTTGTTCAGATCAAAACAAAGCAATTAGGAAAGCGTTGTTGTCGAGGTGTTTTGTTCCGAGGTAGGACCCGTAGCTTCTCCCCCTCCCCTTCGCCGGGAGCAGCGGCTTCTGATTGGACAGTGCGCGTCTGCCACGACGCAGGAAGGCCGCCTCATTGGTCCGCGCAGTCAGGGTCCGGCGGCTTGTCTCTAGCACTCAGGGCGCTGACCCACTTCTTTTCCTCGAAGTGAGTGCTCGATTCCTTCCGGCGCCCGGAGCTGCTGGCCTAAAGGCATCCGGAGGGAGCTAGGCTGGGTAAGTGCTTTGAGGTCCGCCGGAAAGCCGCAGCGGCTGAGTACTACGGGTGGGAGTGGGATTGGCGAGCTGGGGTAAAACTGCCTCTTCTTCGCGCCGTCCTGACCCCCAAGGTCTCCGCGTCTTCTCCGCCCCTTTCCTCCGCTGGCCCCACCTTCCTCGGGCTTTTCCGGGCTTCCCCCAAAACCTCCGCACGCCCCTCCGCTGCCCTTTTTGGGGACCTCCCCTCCTCTGCCTGCGTCTCCACGGGGCCCGCCCTGGTCTCCTCCCTGCAGCGGCCCCTCCCTCAGGAGCGCACCTTCTTCCCTCCTCTCCGCCGCCGGTGTGCTCCCCAGCTTGGCCGGTTCCTGGCACCTCCTAGTCCTTTAAGTTTGGTTTTGCCCCTCCCTGGTACCTCCGTGGTACTTTTCTCTCTGATCCCTGCCTCCTTTGCATCTGACTGCTGGGGTCCTCCGATTCCACTGACCCAGGCTGCCTGTGTACGGGTTTAGCAAATGGTGCAGCGGGGTTGTGCTGGGCGTTGGGGTTGGAGATAGTGATTGGAGGTCCCTGCTTTCAAGAACTCCCTGCCCTGTGGGAGAGAGTCACTTTGTAAATGGAGTATGATAGGCCCAGTGATAAGTCTTTAATAAAGGCAGCATAATGTTGGACTGCTTAGGGGAAGGAGTTCTAGAGGGGTTCTTCCCCCCACTCCGGCCCCCATTCCTGCTGAATTCTCAAGCAGTCCTCTAGGGGCTAAACAGCATCTTTTCGTCAGAATGCCTTTGGCTTCTTCTGATGCAGACGCTTGGCCCTAATCATGGTCCTTTTTTTTTTTTTTAGCTATTTTATTTGAGACAGGGTCTCGCTCTGTCGCCCAGGCTGGAGTGCAGTGGCATGATCTCAGCTTACCGCAACTTCTGCCTCTTGGGTTCAAGCGATTTTCGTGCCTCAGCCTCCTAAGTAGCTGGGACAACCACACCTGGCTAATTTTCGTTTTTTTTTTTTTTTTTTTTTTTTAACTAGTAGAGGCAGAGTTCCATCATGTTAGCCAGGTTGATCTCGAACTCTTGGGCTCAAGTGATCCACCCGCCTCGGCCTCCCAAAATGCTGGAATGACTGCGCCCGGCCATCATGGTCCTTTAAACACTTGTGTTATTAAAATCTTTGTATGGGCCCTTCTTTTAACCGGTCAGAATAGGTAGAGTTTCAGAGACCATCTATCCAAGCCCTCAGGGTATTGACTGGGAAGTTGGAGGCTAGAGACAGAGTGATTGCCTAGACAAATAGTGACTCAGCATTGTACTCGTGATGCTGCTTTTTGGAGTTTTTCCTGAGGTTTCTTTCCCAATTTTTCAATTATATAGCAGTCTTAGGGTGGGAAAACTAAAAGCGCAGATAAAACCACTAGTCAGTAGATTCCTCCAAGCCAGTGCAGGTGGCTTGTATACTTACTCAGATGAGAGTAATTATACCTCAGGCTCTTGGAGTGAGGAATCCCTGGGGTCTGGTCCCAGCTCCATCATTTGCTGTTGTAAAGCTTGGTGAAGAAACTTCCTTTATCTGAGCTTCAATTTTATCTTTTGTAAAAAGAGTGTGATAAGCCCTAACATGCAGGGTAAGGGTAGGGATTTGTTAAGATTCTGGTTATGAAAGTAATCACTTTTAGTGTCCTGTGAATTGTAGGATCCCAGTGCAGGCAGGCTCCCTGTGCTTCAGATTCGTGTCTGTCTGGCTCAAATCAGCAAAGAACCTGATATGCCTTCTTTTTCCAGGCACCATGACCACCCTTGACGATAAGCTGCTGGGGGAGAAACTGCAGTACTACTACAGCAGCAGTGAGGATGAGGACAGTGACCATGAGGACAAGGACCGAGGCAGAGGCGCCCCGGCCAGCAGTTCTGTGCCTCCAGAGGCTGAGCTGGCAGGCGAAGGCATCTCAGTTAACACAGGTACTGAGAAACCCTGGGCTCTGAGAACAGGCTTAAAAAATGTGCATTAAATGCGTATTAATTAGAAGTCTTCTAATCACTTTTAACTCTGGTCCCACTTTCAAAGATAACCTAGCTTTTTCATTATGTGTGTGTCTAGCCTTTTAGTGCACAATGCAAATGCATCTGCATAGCAGCATGGTGATGAACACAGACTGGCCTGGATTTGAATCCTGCATCTCATATTAATAGTTTGATATCTCATAAATCACAAGTATGAGTATATGGGTAGTACAAATTCCTAAAAATGGCATCTTCACACTTGAACATTTTAATATTGTCAAATTGCTATCACTTGAGGTGGCAGTAATTTATAGTTTAATCAGCAATCCGTGTTTCTCCATACCCTTGTCCTCCTCCTGTGTTATGAAACTCATTGATCTTCACTATTGTGGTAACTCATTGTAGGTTTATTTATTCCCCCCACTCCCACCCTTTTTCTGGGGGTCGGGGAGACAGGGTTTTGCCTTGTTGCTCAGGCTGGGGTGCCTTGGTGTGGTAATGGCTCACTGCAGCCTCAACCTCCTGGGCTCAAATGATCCTTCTGCCTCAGCTTCCATATGAGGTTCCTGTCTTAAAAAGCTGGGACCACAGGCACTTGCCACCATGGCTAGCTAATTTATTTTATTTTTTTTTGGAGATGGAGTCTCACTTTGTTGGCCAGGCTGGCCTCACACTGCTGGCTTCAAGCAATCCTCCTGCCTCAGCCTCCCAAAGTGTTGGGATTACAGTATAGGCGTGAACCAATGCACCAGGCCCATCTTTCTTTTTAAGAGGGAGCCCAAACTACTTTTCTTAATTTTTTTTTTTTTTTTTTTGAGACGGAGTTTCACTCATGTTACCCAGGCTGGAGTGCAATGGTGCGATCTCGGCTCACCGCAACCTCCGCCTCCTGGGTTCAGGCAATTCTCCTGCCTCAGCCTCCTGAGTAGCTGGGATTACAGGCACGCACCACCATGCCCAGCTAATTTTTTGTATTTTTAGTAGAGACGGGGTTTCACCATGTTGACCAGGATGGTCTCGATCTCTTGACCTCGTGATCCACCCGCCTCGGCCTCCCAAAGTGCTGGGATTACAGGCTTGAGCCACCGCGCCCGGCCTACTTTTCTTAATTTTAAGAGAGATTTTTATATCTTGCTTATTTACAAAGTGGGTGATTAGTCTTTTTCTTCTTGGGGAGCCATAAAGGAAATTAGTCTGTGATATGAGTTGTAAATATTTCTTTGCTTATTGTCTTTTGACTTTATGTTCCTTTCCTGGATGAAATTTTTTTTTTTTTTTTTTTTTCTTTGAGACGGAGTTTTGCTCTCACTACCCAGGCTGGAGTGCAATGGCGCGATCTCGGCTCACCACAACCTCCACCTCCTGGGTTCAGGCAGTTCTCCTGCCTCAGCCTCCTGAGTAGCTGGGATTACAGGCACGCACCACCATGCCCAGCTAATTTTTTGTAGTTTTAGTAGAGACGGGGTTTCACCATGTTGACCAGGATGGTCTTGATCTCTTGACCTCGTGATCCACCCGCCTCGGCCTCCCAAAGTGCTGGGATTACAGGCATGAGCCACTGCGCCCGGCCCAAATTTTTATTTTTATGTGCTTAGAAGTGTTTATAGTTTCTTAATTTTGCTTTTAACTTAAAAGGCGTTTCTTCACTCTATAAAGGGCCTCACTTTGCTGTATAAAAAGGTTCTCCTGGCCAGGTGCAGTGGCTTACGTCTATAATCCTAGCACTTTAGGAGGCCGAGGCTGGTGGATTGCTTGAGCTCAGGAGTTCAAGGCCAGCCTGGGCAATACAGTGAAACCCCATCTCTACTGAAATACAAAAAATTAGCTGGGTGTGGCGTGCACCTGTAGGCCCAGCTACTTGGGAGGCTGAGGCAGGAGAATTGCCTGAACCGTGGTGGCGAAGGTTGCAGTGAGCCAAGATCATGCCACTGCACTCCAGTCTGGGCAACAGAGTGAGACTCTGTCTCCCAAAAAAAAAAAAAAAAAAAAAAAAAGGTTCTCCTATACTTTTCATTAGTAATTTTGTAATTTCATTTTATACACTTAAATATTGATTCTCACTTTGGTGCAGGGTGAAGTAGGGCTCCAACTTAATTTTTTTTTTATATTGCTACTCAGTTGTTTCAGTACTGCTTATTGAATAAACCATCTTTATTTTGAGATGTCACATTATGTACTGAATTTCTGTTTATGTTGGGTCTTTAGCTCTACTATGTAGTCTCTTCCACTGATTTGTACTGGGCTATGTTATACTGTTTTTAATTATTGTAGTGTTATATTTTAGTATTTGATAAGGCTAGATCCTCTTCAATTAACTTTTGCTTTATTTTTTCCAAGGGAAATTTAGGAGCAGGACATATGTGGGTTCATGTATTTTCATTGGGAATGCATTAAAGATATAGATTAGGGAAAATTGGCACTTTTGTGATGTTGAGTATGTCTATTCAGGAACATGGTATTGCTTTTCCATTTATTCAAGTCTTATTTTTTGGGAGCATTTTAAAGTTGTCTTCATATAGATTTGTATATGTTTTTTTCTGTGGTAACAAAAGACTTTAAAGCTTTAGTGGCTTATGACAACAAAGGTTATTTCTCAATCATGTTACATGCAGCCTGTAGGTCAGTGGCAGCTCTGCTTATGCTTCATATGTTCTGTCATCCAGGAGCTAGGCTGAAGGAGTAACAGCCTTAATTTGGCTGTGTCCCTCTATTTGGGACACACCGTTTTCATGGTGAAGCATAGAGGAGAGCAAGAGAGGAGCTGTTGGAAACATGGAATGGCTCATACATGGCATACTTTTTGTTTTGCTCATATATGCCATACTTCATGTTTGCTCACAGTCCCATTGGGCAGCAAGTCACATGGTCAAGCCCAGCATCAGTGGTCTGGGGATATATGTATTCATCCCACAGGAGGTACCACAAGTCACATAGCAAGGGGCAAGGACATCTAAGTCCTTTGGCAGCACAGAGCTTGGGAGGTTAAGGGTAGCTTGAATAACAGAACAATAATACAGCCTGCCACAATCTTGTTACAAAAAATTCAGATAATATAGAAGTATAGAAAGAAAAAAGTAAAAGATCTCTCCCACCAGCCCCCTTAGATCCTATTACCTGGAGACAACCACTGTTAACAGTTTACATATCCTGCAAGCACTTTTTCTGTGAAGATACAAGTGTATACATCAACATGTGTGCATATCTACGTACATAAATATTTTAAGTTCTTTTTATAGAAACTAGAGGATTATACCATGATATTCTACATTTTGCTTTTTTAATAACCTGATGTATTTGGAATATCTTTTTTTTCTTTTTTGAGACGGAGTTTCACTCTTGTTGCCCAGGCTGGAATGCAGTGGCGTGATCTCGGCTCACCACAACCTCTCCCTCCCGGGTTCAAGTGATTCTTCTGCCTCAGCCTCCCGAGTAGCTGGGATTACAGGCATGGCACCACCTGGTCTGGCTAATTTTGTATTTTTAGTAGAGATCGCATTTCTCCATGTTGGTCAGGCTGGTCTTGAACTCCCAACCTCAGGTGATTCACCCATCTCAGCCTTCCAAAGTGCTGGGATTACAGGCGTGAGCCACTGTGCCCAGCCTATTTGAAATATCTTTAATGGTAGGAAACAGCTGCTTCATTCTTTCTAAGAGTTGCTTTACTTTCCTTTGAGTAGGTGAATCATAATTTTTAAACTCATCTCCTAGTGTTGGGCATTAGTTTGGCGCCTGTTGCAGACTTGCAGGGCATGTCATTGTGTATAGGTCGCTCTGCCCTGTGGCAGAGTACACAGAGGCCCCTGTGAAGATTGTGCAGTAGATGGAGCAAGCTTCAGACTACCGAGACTAGTTCGGCAGTAGAGACCCTGAGCTGAAGGCATTAAAAAACAGACACCCGGATAGAAAAGCAAAGTGGTGCTATCCAGGAGGCCAACAGCCTTCCGAGCTGACAGCATTCTGGGCGGAGGGCCTAGAACAGACTCTGACCATGTAGTTATTCTCTCTGAACAGGTGGTAATTATTAACAGCAGGTGTCCTGTGTTTTCTCATAGAACCAAGATCGACTAGGTAGGCAGCTGGTGCCTACTTACCACTGATAAAGGACAAACCAGAAAGTATTTTCCACGAGGGAGCCCCAGAGGCAGGGTCACATATCCCGTGCTTAAAGAATTGTTTTAACTGGTGTATGATATACATACACTGCTTTGCTACTTTAGAATGCCCCAAGCAGTTTTCCACTTGGTGGTGGGTGGTGGGGAGGCAGCTAGGTTTTCCTTGCCTTTGTCCTTCTTAGCAAACAGTATAATTTATTGTACACTCAGCATTTCTCAGCAATCATACACTCAGCCTTTCTCAGCATCAGGCAGATGTGAACTCCTACCTACAGATGTGAGCTGGTCCATAACTCCTTGCCCGTTCTTCTCGGTCACATCCCACATCCGTGTTCACCCTACTCAGGCCCAAAAGGTGTGATTAATGACTGGCGCCGCTTCAAGCAGTTGGAGACAGAGCAGAGGGAGGAGCAGTGCCGGGAGATGGAAAGGCTGATCAAGAAGCTATCAATGACTTGCAGGTCCCATCTGGATGAAGAGGAGGAGCAACAGAAACAGAAGGACCTCCAGGAGAAGATCAGTGGGAAGGTAATTAGCACTACCCAGGCTTTTCTTAGAAGCTGCTCTGACTGCTAGAGCCGGATGAGTGATCAAGAGGTGGAGGATGCTTGATTTGGCCTCCAAAAAGTTGTGCAGTGCAGGAGACATCATAGAGCCATGTCAAAACTCATACATACCCAGCTTAGAATCTCAGTTCTGCTGCTAGTGACTGTGGGAAAGAATCTTTCCTTTTGAATCTCGTGTTTCAGTGGTTAAATGATGTCAGTATCCTCCCTGAACAGGGCTGTGTGGTTAATATGCCCATTATAGTGTCTGGCCTACTGAAAGTGCTCAGTAAATGTTAGTTTTCCTTCTTTTATTGAGATTTTATCTTGGGCCAGAAATAACTCTCTGAGGGTGGTGATATTATCCCCTTTTTACAGATTATGAAAGCAATGCTTAGAGGGCATTAGAGACTTTGTTCAGGGCAGTGCAACTGGTAAATTCTAGTAGGAGCTAGGGTTCTAACCCAAATTTTCCTGTTTTTTCCATGATGTTGCTGTTTCATCTGAAGCCTATTCATGGGAATTTAAGGAGGCATTATAATAAGCAAACAGATACTCTGGAAGATACTTGGAAGTAGGTCCCTGATAGCCTTTGTTTTTTTTTTTTTTTTAAATAGAGACAGGGTCTATGTTATCCAAGCTGGTCTCGAACTCCTGAGCTCAAGTGACCCTCCTGCTTCAGCCTTCCAAAGTGCTAGGATAACAGGTGTGAGCCATGATGCCTGGCCCCTGATGGCCTCTTCTTCAATCAGTATTTTTTTTTTTTGAGACGGAGTTTCACTCATGTTACCCAGGCTGGAGTGCAATGGTGTGATCTCGGCTCACCGCAACCTCCGCCTCCTGGGTTCAGGCAATTCTCCTGCCTCAGCCTCCTGAGTAGCTGGGATTACAGGCACACGCCACCATGCCCAGCTAATTTTTTGTATTTTTAGTAGAGACGGGGTTTCACCATGTTGACCAGGATGGTCTTGATCTCTTGACCTCGTGATCCACCCGCCTCGGCCTCCCAAAGTGCTGGGATTACAGGTTTGAGCCACCGCGCCCGGCCTTCAATCAGTATTAAAAGGGATTCACTATTTCCCTGGATGCCCTCTGACTGTGGATGAATGTCTGTGAGTGCTTGGGATGATTTAGCTATGGCCCAAAGCTAAATATCACACAGCATCAGAGAGCAGATAAGAGGATTAAGCTGGGAATCATTCACCTTGACCAGGAGGGTGATTTTAGACATTAGACTTAGCCAAAGACTTCAGTATGTCAGAAGAAGACTGAGATGGAGTGGAGGGCTATGAGATGGGAAGAAAATCGGCAATAAGTAAAATAGCGAACTCAGAATGTTGCTGGTTATGATACAGTAACAACATGTGGTCTGATCTTGTGTGATCTCCCACTCCCTATCCCCTAATATAGACAACATTAGGCAGAGTTAGGATTTATTCGAGGAGCAGGGACGTATTGCTGCATCAGGGCAGAAGGAAGATGCTCTTGTAACTGAAGCTGTCTCTTGGGCATTGTGCCCGCCACTCACAGCTGCTTCTGTGTGAGGTGAAAGGCCAGAATGAGGCAATATCATATCATCACATGGTTCAGTCTTAAAAGAAGCTGTTCCTGTCCTGCTGATTTATGTGCAGTAGAACAGAACTGGAAACTGAATGCCAGAATTAGGGAAGTGGTTAAGCAAAGTGACACATTATATATAATTTCATAAAAATATTTGGAAACATGAGGAAATACTTAGAATCATGCTAAGTCTCAAAAGCAGGTTATAGCTTAATTGGTACACTCACAGCTGCTGCTATAAAAGCAAAACTATTTCAGTATGTGACTGGTAATAAAAAGAATTTTTAGAGTCCATATGACTGTGTGTGTGTGCGTGGGGATTGTGTGGGGCAGGGATTATGAGGGTTTTTTCTAAAATTCTATGATGTTGTGTTCTCTTTAAAAAAGTGGATAAAATATTGTCAAGATTGACAAAAAGTAAGCTCATGAAGTGATTATGATGCTATTTGGATTGAGAGGCGATGTGATAATGTAGTTAAAATCATGGGTTTTAAAATCTTGTTTGAGTCCTGGTCTTACACTTACTGGGTGCACTTGTCAAATAATGTCAAGTTTTGGAACCTCATTTATAAAATGGGGCTATTAAAAGTCCCTTCCCGATGGAGTTGTGGAATTCATGGAGATATAATACATATAAAGTACTTAGTATGGTGCCTCATATATTATCAGCATATAGTACATGTTAACTATTTAGTTGTTTTATTTTTATTTTTGGAGACAAGGTATTGCCCTATTGCCCAGGCTGGAGTGCAGTGGCATGATCTTGGCTCACTGCAACCTCCGCCTCCTGGATTGAAGCGATTCTTGTGCCTCAGCCTCCTGGTAGCTGGGACCATAGACGCACACCACCATGTCTGGCTAACTTTTTGTATTTTTTTTTTCTTTTTTAAGGAGAGACAGGGTTTTGCCATGTTGGCCAGGCTGGTCTTGAATTCCTGACCTCAAGTGATCTCCCCGTCTCGGCCTCCCAAAGTGCTAGGATTACAGGTGTGAGCCACTGCACCCAGCCCATATTAACTGTTATCACGAATGTTCAGTTTTCATATTTATGCTCACTTGCTGGTCCGCCTGCAGATGACTCTGAAAGAGTTTACCATGATGAATGAGGACCAAGATGATGAAGAGTTTCTGCAGCAGTACCGGAAGCAGAGAATGGAAGAGATGCGGCAGCAGCTTCACAAGGGGCCCCAGTTCAAGCAGGTTTTCGAGATCCCCAGTGGAGAAGGGTTTTTAGACATGATTGATAAAGAACAGAAAAGCACTGTCATCATGGTTCATATTTATGAGGATGGCATTCCGGGGACCGAAGCCATGAATGGTTGCATGATCTGCCTTGCCGCAGAGTACCCAGCTGTCAAGTTCTGCAGGGTGAAGAGCTCAGTTATTGGCGCCAGCAGTCGCTTCACCAGGAACGCCCTTCCTGCCCTGCTGATCTATAAGGGGGGTGAATTGATTGGCAATTTTGTTCGTGTTACTGACCAGCTAGGAGAAGATTTCTTTGCTGTGGACCTTGAAGCTTTTCTCCAGGAATTTGGATTACTCCCAGAAAAGGAATTCTTGGTGCTGACATCTGTGCGTAACTCTGCCACCTGTCACAGTGAGGATAGCGATCTGGAAATAGATTGAACTGATAGTCTGGTTCCATAGGTTTCTCATTGTTTGGGTTGGAATATACATGTCGTTTATTTTTGTTCTTGCTTTGTCTTCCGGCTTTTCAGCTGTTCTTTGTAGTCCCTTTTATTTTGTGTGAAACCAAGAAATTCTTCGATTAAATCAGAATGCTGAATAATCTTGTGGCTAGCAGTAAGGTGACTTAAAATTGGATAAACAGGAAGCCAGGCTTTTGAACTGTTTAGTTAAGATTCTCTGGCGTGACGTCTCTGTTATTGTTTCCAGTCAATATTTACAAAGCATCCTAAAGACAGTGTCTTGGAAATTGTCTTCAGATGATCTCAGAGATCTCTGCCAAGACTGAGAGTATAATTCTGTAGGTAGTGTGTTATTTGCAATGTAAATAGTGCATTTTCTTAATCAAATGATTGTAAACTATATTTACTTGTAATCAGATCCATAGCTCCAGACAGTGGTTAGATTTTTTTTTTTCCCCCTAGACCCCCTTCTCCACCAGGGTCTTGTTTAAAGGTTCCAGATGACGCGTGTTTACCTCATCAGGAGGGGTGGCCTCTGCTGCTGGATTTGATGTCCTCCTCCAGCATTCCTAAGTCTGACACAGCAGGAAGGGTCAGTGCTGCCTGACCTGGTGATGTTGGAAGACAAGTACTTTATGGATGTAAACATTAGAGCTGGAGTGGGGCTGGAAACTTTGTAAAGGAGGATCTTTCAATAAGATGCCCCGCTTGTCTTTGTCTCTTTTTTGTTTAACCTCGATTATTTTTAAAACTTTTTTTTTTTTTTTGCATATTGGAATACTCTTATTCGGTAGAGGAAAATTGACCAAAACAGAAGCAAAAATAAGAAAATTAAAATAATCTCTAACCCTACCACCTAGAGTGAAACACTATTAATATTTTGGTCTCCTTCCTGCCCAGGTGTTTTCTGTGTATACATGGATTTTTTTTTTTTTTTTTTCCTGAGACAGAGTTTCACTCTTGTTACCCAGGCTGGAGTGCAATGGCGCGATCTCGGCTCACCGCAACCTCCGCCTCCTAGGTTCAGGCAATTCTCCTGCCTCAGCCTCCTGAGTAGCTGGGATTACAGGCACGCGCCACCATGCCCAGCTAATTTTTTGTAGTTTTAGTAGAGATGGGGTTTCACCATGTGGACCAGGATGGTCTCGATCTCTTGACCTCGTGATCCACCCGCCTCGGCCTCCCAAAGTGCTGGGATTACAGGCTTGAGCCATTGCGCCCGGCCTATTTTGTTGTTCTTAAACAAAACGATGGGATCATTCTGAACATACTGTTTTATAGTATGGTCAGCCAATAATATATCAGACCCTTTTTCATATTATTAAATATTCTACAACTTTTAAAAAATGTCTGTTAATATTCCATCATATAAATGTGCTGTAATTTGCTTGGTAGTTGTCTCTTAGAAAGATAGCAAATACTTTTTTTAAATTACAAAAGTGACAGATATTTATTGTAGAAAATGTAATAAAAACTGTTAAGACTTAAAAGCCATATAATTCCACCAACCAAAATTAATCCCTGCCGTCATACTTCTAGTCATTTTTCTAGCCTTTTTTCTATGTATTTATAATTATCATTTGAGTTTTTTTTTGTTTTGTTTTGTTTTTAAACTTTAAAAATGTATATTCTAGGGTCAGGGGAAATGTAATCTGGAATTAAATATTAGCTTTAAAATTCACAATTTTGATTTTCCTGGCTTTTCAGGAATTGACTAACTGTAAAAGGGTCTTGAAAGTATCTGTTGTATTTGGTCAACGTGAAAAGTGCATTTTTTTTTTTTTTTTTGAACTAAGAAAAGCTCATTGTAGAAAGGCTGGAATATGGAATGTACAGAAAATTATTAGAAGAAGGGAACTATTATTAGTCTAGCTTATTTCCTTTCAGTCTTTTTTCAATTTTTTAAAAACATTGAATACTTACCGAATTTAGTTCTGTGCTCTGCGTTATTTAGTATTGTATCATAAATACTTGATGTTTCAACAATTCTAAATAAACAATTTTCAGTGGCTTCATAATATTTCATTTGGATATACAATTATTTAACCAGTTTCTTTATTTTGTTTGTTTTCTTTGAGATGGAGTCTTGCTCTCTCACCCAGGCTAGAGTGCAGTGGTGTGATCTTTGCCCACTGCTTTGCCTCCTGGGTTCAAGCAATTCTGCCTCAGCCTTCTGAGTAGCTGGGAATACAGGCGCACACCACCATGTCTGGCTAATTTTTGTATTTTTAGTAGAGACGGGGTTTCACCATGTTGGCCATGCTCTTCTGGAACTCCTGACCTTGGGTGAGCTGCCCACCTTGGCCTGCCAAAGTGTTGGGATTGCAGGCGTGAGCCACCCTGCCTGGCTTAACCAATCTCTTTGCTTTGGGTATTTAGAGTCTCAGTTTTTTGCTAAACACTTAAGGCCTTTGTGTTTTGGGCTATATTTTGGATTATTCTCATAGATTTCTAGAAGAGCAATTACTGGGCAAATAGGGACACTTAAAATAGCTTTTACAAACCATTGTCTATTCTCATTGAAAATGAGAATATATTATGCACTTATACACAGGGAACTTGACTTTGCTTTTCAAGAACAGAAGCTCTAAGATACAATAGGGCTGGGTGTGGTGGTTCACACCTGTAATCCCCGCACTTTGGGAGGCTGAGGCAGACATAGCTAGACCTCATTTCTACCAAAAAATAGAGAAAATTTGCCAGGCATGGCATTGTGCCTGTAGTCCCATCTGCTTGGGAGGCTGAATCAGGAGGATCTCTTGAGCCTGGGAGGTCAAGGCTGCAGTGACCTATGATGGCCCTTCAACCTGGGCAACAGCCTATCTCAAAAAAAAAAAAAAGTGAATTAATGGTAAGGGAGAAATCCTAGACCTTTATTTGGAGATGGAGTCTCATTTTTGCCTAGTGTGGAGTGCAGTGGCACAACCTCCGCCTCCTGGGTTCAAGCAATTCTGTCTCAGCCTCCCCAGTAGCTGGGATTACAGGTGCCTGCTACCATGCCTGGCTAATTTTTGTATTTTTAGTAGAGCTGGGGTTTCTCCACGTTGGCCAGGTTGGTCTCCAGCTCCTGACCTCAGGTGATTGCCCGCCTCGGCCTCCCAAAGTGCTGGGATTACAGGTATGAGCCACTGCGGCAGGCCTGGAGTGTTAAATCTAACTGGTGTAGTAGAAGCAGCATTGGTTTTGGATTCAGGGAGCTCTTTGTTCAAATCCTATCAGACAGTCTCGTGGAATAGCTTCTTTCTGGTGAGAAACCTAGCCTTCCTGATGTTCGGTTTCCTCGTCTGTACAATGGAAACAAAACCTGTTTTGTGGAGTTGTTCTGGGACAGTGGTTCTCATGTGTGGTGCCCAGGGCAGCATCAGCAGCAGTGGTGGCCTCAGTGTGACCTGGGAACTTGTCAGAAATGCAAATTCTCAGGCTTCACTCCAGACCTTTTGAATCAGGAATTCTGGGAATAGCTCAGCAAACTCTTTTTACAAGCCCTGCAGGTGATTCTGAAGCTTGTTCAAGTTTGAGACTCACTGGCCTATGGATTAAGCTGAGTGCGTGTGGCAGAACAAGTGCTCCCTGTTTTTGGTTTCTTTATTAAGAGTAAAAGAGGGAAGGAGCTGAAATGGGATAGCTCTCAGATTGCCTCTTTCCCTTTTTATGTGATTCTCATTTTTAGCCATGGAATTCGGGGAAAGAGGAACTATCTGTCACAAACTGTCCCAGTAGTCTTCCAGATTTCAATTTGGTTTGGAATGAAAGTCTCACGAAGGCACGGACTTTGTTTTCTTCCTCATGTATGGCATGGAGCAGGGGTCCCCATCCCCCGGGCCACAGATCAGTATCAGTCTGTGGCCTGTTAGGAACCAGGCTGCACAGCAGGAAGTGAGTGGTGGGCCGGCAAGCTAAGCTTCATCTGTTTTTACAGCCGCTTCCTATTGCTTGTGTTACTGCCTGAGCTCCACCTCCTGTTAGATCAGCGGTGGCGTTAGATTCTCATAGGAGTGCTAACCCTCTTTGAACTGCACATGTGAGGGATCTAGGTTGAGCGCTCCTTATGAGAATCTAATGCCTGCTGATCTGTCACAGTTCCCTATCACCTTCAGATGGGACTGTCTAGTTGCAGGAAAACAAGCTCAGGGCTCCCACTCATTCTACGTTATGGTGAGTTGTATAATTATATATTACAATGTAATAATAATAGAAGTGCATGATAAATGCAATGCGCTTGAATCATCCTGAAACCACCCCCTGCACTCTAGTCTGTGGAAAAATTGTTTTTGAGGAAATCATTTCCTGGTGCCAAAAAGTTCGGGGACCACTGCTGCTGGCAGAGTAAGGGCTTGGTCTGTAGGCACAGGCTGATACTATGTTTGGAAGCAAGATGCTGGATTCCTCCGTGCCTCAGTCTCCTCATCTTTAGAGTGAGATAGTAACATGAGTCAATTCATATAAAGTATTGAACACAAATAAGTGTTTTTACTGGTCTAGTGCCCACACTGCTTGGCACTGGGCAAAAGATGAAGACACATTTAAGAATGAACACACTGACTCATTGAATGATACATGTTTTCAAAGTAGGAAATAGTAACTTTTTCAAAGATGTAGATAGCAAGACTTAGCGAGGCTAAGCGACATTTCAGCTCGTTAGAGCTAGTGGGCAGGGCAGTGATTAAAGTCAGGTTTGTGAAGTTTCAACATTTCTATTATTTTCCTGATGTCATATTCTTGATGGAGAAGGCAAACTGATCAAGTGACAGTAAAATAGAAACATTAAAAGACAGTGGAGAGAATAGAGGAAGAAAATATTTATTTTTTGAGACAGGGTCTTGCTCTGTCACCCAGGCTGGAGTGCAGTGGCACGATCTTAGCTCACTGCAATCTCTGCCTCCTGGGTTCAAGTGATTCTCCTGCCTCAGCCTCCCGAGTAGCTGGGACTACAGGCACATGCCACCATACCAGGCTAATTTTTTGATTTTTAGTAGAGACGGGGTTTCACCATGTGGACCAGGATGGTCTTGATCTCTTGACCTCGTGATCCACCCGCCTCGGCCTCCCACAGTGCTGGGATTACAGGTGTGAGCCACTGTGCTTGGTCAAAAAGTGGATTTAAAGACCAAAAAGGAGTTAAGCTGATGGAGCCTTGGGTCTCTCTGGCCTGCCTCTGTTTCAGGCCAGAATCTCCTGTTGTTTTAGCTATGGCTCTGACCCACAATGTGCCCCTGTTGAGGGGCATCTCCTTCCTACCATGACTCCAGAGAGTCCTCCCTCCCCAAATCCATCTCTTAGGCTCCTTTCTCCACACACTGCCACCCATGTCCTGCTACAAGTGACAGCAATGGGGAGAATAGTTAACGTGGACTCTGGCTCCTTGAGTAACTAGAGGCTTCATTTCCCCATTTGTAAAGTGAGGGATGAACTAGATGATCTGATCTTTTTTTTTTTTTCCTCTTGAGACAGGCTCTTGCTCTGTTACCCAGACTGGAGTGTGGTGGCGCAATCATAGCTCATTGTAATCTTGAAATTTTGGGCTCAAGGGATCTTCCTGCCTCTGCCTGCTGAGTAGCTGGGACCACATATGCATTCCACTGAGCCTGGCTAATTTTTTATTTTTTGTAAAAAGGAGGGTTTAACTGTTGCCCAAGCTGGTCTCAAACTCCTGGGCTCTAGCGATTCTCCTGCCTCAGCCTCCCAAAGTGTTGGGATTACAGGCATGAGCCATGCACCTGGCTAGATGATTTCTTCAGATGCTTCAGACTCTCACATTGTATTAGTTAATTATTTAATTAATCTTTTATTTGGAAAACATTACAACCTACAGGAAAATGAAAAGAATATTACCATTAACATCTGTATGTCCT